GTCTCTGCGTCTCTGCATCTCTGTGTCTTTGTGTCTCTGTCTCTGTGTCTCTGTGTCTGTCTCTCTGTCTCTCGGTCTCTGTCTCTCTTATACACACACACACACACACACACACACACACAGCATGAGCTTTAATTAAGAATATTTCTTATCCCAGAGCCTTTCTTCTTTCCTCTCTGGTCTAAGGAATTCTGAAGTCTGTTTGTCTTGTGCCATGTACAGGGTAGATTTGTACTAACATTTTTTGCTGTTTTAGGAAAAGCTACTGTCTATTATTAGGCAATGCTTCTTTCTGAGTGCTGCATGATTTGTCTCCCAACTTCTTAAGGAGCCAGTTCATACATCTGCAGAATAGCTACTATGATTCTGTTTTCCATTCTGAGAAGCCATCCTAGAGGCAAAGACAATGCAATGCGTTTGTTGTAGAATTTGTCCAGACTTGCATCCTCCATCTGCATAGTTTTAAAGGGCTGCATTCCAGAATTTTGTCTTACAGAAATCTTACAAAAACCCAAAGTCATTCAATATTGCATTTTAAAGTTAGATAAAAATTTCCATAACAACATCTTACATAAAAGATGAGAAAAGGGAACCCAATAAACTAGTGATGTATCTGGATAGTAGCCTAGCTCTACACATTAGCAACTCAGTTTTATATTCAAAATGCAGCACCAATATTCAGGAATTCCAAAATTAAAAAGTCACTGGAACAGCATAAATGCTACGGCTACTCTAGAAAATTTTAATAAAACATATGATAGATGCATAGATAGATGAATATTTGTTTAAAAGACATTAACAACCTTCAAAACATAGAGATGAACTCATATTTTCACCATATGCCAGAAGAAATTATTCAAGTTATTTGCTGGCTTCCCTGGAAATAAAGTCAGTATTCAAAAACTAAGGCCAAATCAGGTCACCTTCATAAAGGCTGCTGTATCAGAATGCATCAGATGTGAATTAGAAGGGCTGATCTTAGAAACTAAGGGGTCTTGCCTACCAAGGTTCTATTCACAGGATGAAGGGCATGAAGTGAGACTCATGGAGCTGTAGGAGATGAATGTCGAGACTTGGAGAGTCCTCATTCACAAATCATGAGAACATTAATTTTCATGTATTGCCTTACAAGAGGATGAAGTCAAGTGCTCATGGAGATAATGTTTGAATTAAGAATAGAGAGAAGGAAGATCTAACACTTTGAGTGGCTTGATTGGGTAGCCAAGGGATAACAGGAATCGCTAACCACACAATCAAATACCAATGAGCAAGATCTGAGTCAAATCAGCTCTGGAATTTAGCTTAGAATTTTCAAATCTGTAAGTTGAAAAGAGATGGTCCTTATTTCCTTTATCAGATGCCACTGATGCCAATTGTTTTAAGCTGTTTGTATGCTGACAGATGCATTTGGTCAGCAGTTCTTACTACCCTGCACTGTGGTTTTCATGAGAAGAGATGGCTAGTTCCTCACAACCCTCCCTTTTCATATTCTGTCCTCTTTTTGTCACAAGTAGCTTATTTGTATTAACAATTGTAATACCAGCAAATCCTCCATATTTTGCTGAACTCACACTGTACACTTGTAAAACATAGTAGGTTCTGTGATTGGCATGAGTGCTACTTTGGTCCCATCAAAACTCAAAGTCCAGGAAGTAGAATATAAAGAAGGGATAGGCCTGTGGAATGTCCTAACACTTGGGCAGATTGGGGTGCTAATTCATCTGCTCTCTTGTCTGCTGTTTGAAGAACAATAACTGGCATTCAGCAGTACCAGGCACAGCACACAATGCGACCTCTACGGCACCACTGCTTATGAACACTGCCTGGAATTGGGACACTCTCCTGATCTGAGGGAAGACCTAATATTAACAAGTACTCACCATGCTTGGAAGTAGATATTCGGGCTCACTGGGGTAGAGTATATGTGTAGGAGGCTCATTTACAAGGGTCGGAAAGATGTTGCACATTTGTGTGTCTAGGTGAGAGCAGCTGTTCTGTTGGAGGATGAACAATATTCTATAGGAATAGTTGGTAAAAATGTTTAGGATTTGTTCCTCTACAGCTGTCCTCTCTGCACCCTTGGAGGCTGCCATGGCATAGTCATTTGCTTTGCCCTGATTATAATTTCCCAATGGGTCACCCTAGTGTTTAAGTGGATGGAGTGATTCTTAAGCAGGATGGCAACTTTCTCTGCGTCACACAAGGTCCAGTATACTTGAACTTATAGTCTATTTGGTATGAAGAAAAAACTCACCATGGGTTCTATTCTGAGTGGTTGTTTCCACACATTTTAATAAATACTCTACCACATTCTTGTTTCCAGCAAAGGAAGGCCTAAGGGTTGTCCCTATCAGCTCCTCTCAGCTCCTGATAAATTCTAAATTTACAAGAAGGCTTTGGAAGGAGAATGCCATCCACTGTGAATATCCTAAGCAATTTTGGGCTGACAGGTCTGTTGACCAGAGGAGAAGAAACTTTCACTTCTAAGATATCTCAGGGAGATCTCCTGCCTATAAAACCCACCAGCCATGAGTAAATGGTCCTCCAAGAACATTCTCTTCCATAACCTTATCACCAAAATACCCACAGGCAAAAGGAACATGGGTTGACAGTGGTAGACTTGAGCTGTACTCATCAGTGGCAGCTTACAGTGCTGGCCTTGGCTGACATTAATGCAGGGTATGGTGTTCATAGGTTGGCATGAGTCATGGTTAGTAACAAGAGTAATGCCAGCTAGTAGTACTAAGGTGGCTATTCAAAGGTATCTAGTAGTTGGATATTTGAAAGAGAAAGCTATTCAATCAGAGGCTGGCAGCTGTCTTTTCCTGTCTCATTGAAGCTAGAGGAGTGTGTCTTTGCAGCTGTGCAGAAACATGCTCTTTAGGGGAGATTTCTGGCTTCCACTTTAGAAACAAGAAAGCCACCTGTGCTTTCCCTCCTTGATTCCAGTGAGTTGTGATCTGTAAGCCAAATCTCCCAGTGTGGACAGAGCTGTAGGAGGGACAGAAAAATCCCACTTAGCACTTTCATATTTTTTACCTTCCATAATTAAGAAAGTATTGGCTTTATTTCTTGGAGAATTTTACACTTAGAGAAAATTGAACACACTGTGTAACAGGAAGCAATGAGTCTGTGTCTCTGGGCCCACCCCAAAAGTACTTCCATATATGAATAAATAGCTACAGGCTCCCAGAATAAAATTTCTATGCTTTCTTGGTTGCAAGAGGACATCATTTTGGAAATAACTCCCACTTTCCTTAACTACTGCTGCTGATAAAGCTTTCTCTGCTTTTAATTCCTGCCCTGCCTTTTCACCTATACTTTTGATGCTAAGAAAATGCAAAGCCCCTTATTTCCAGTGGTTCTGGGTCAGGGAGATGGGTAAGATCAATGCAAACGAAGTCTATGAAACTTAGGCAGGCTATTTATTCCACACGCTGTTGAGTTGTCTGGTACCTGGAGTTACCTACCAGTGGAGGGTGTAGTTGGGGTATGAGGTCACAATGGGCAAAGAGGCATTAAGTCCCAAGTAAGCATTGCTAGTGGGAGCTGGAAATGCTAGCATTCTTGTTAAATTTCCTGACTCTCTTCAGGCCAAGATAAGCCCTGAAATCACAACGACAGTAATTCCTGATGGGTCAGCCAGATACCTTGTTCCCAACTCACAAGCAATCTTCTGTGTGTTTCATTTCTAGAATCAACCTTAGAATTATTTAATACAGTTCTATTAAAATCTTACTTTTCTCTTAATGTATGGTTATAAGTGAAATTTGGGTGTCAGTGTTGGTGGTGACAGAGATGGAAGGCAGTCAGTTCTCAGAACATTAATTTGTAAGATTTGGAGTTATTTAATACACACCATGACAAATGTCTCTCTTCTTCTAACTCCTGCCTCGTCTTTTCATTCATACTTAACAAGAGTTTCCATGTTGGAAATAACTGCCATGAATAACTTGACTATTTGACTCACAAGGAAACCGAAGGAAGAACATCCGGATAGTGGTAGCTTCCAATGAGACTCTCTGAAGGTATTGAAGGCAAGGTTCTCAAAATTTTGGCTCTTCTTGCATCCACAGGGAGAATGGAGGTAGTTCAAACCCCACTGTCTTATTAGCAGAACACTTACCAAGGCAAGCTCCTGTGCATCTCAGAAACATTGCAACACCCCCAGCCCCATTCTTGAGCCAGCCAGGCAGATTCACCTCCCCGCCATTACCAAATAAGGTATCACACCAGGTGAAGAGGGACATGGAACACTTTTTAATGTCAAGTCAGAGACAACCCATCCCTCCCCTATCCCCCAATCCCAGTTTCCCTCACCACATCCAGGACCCCTCCCCGAGGCCTCTCTGGTCCCCAGACTTCAGGGAAGGAAAAAAATGGTTACCTAAAAACTGCATTTTTCTTCTCTTTCATACACACTCACACGAAGGTGAAAAATTAAATAAAATAAACCAAGAGGATTAAGTTCTCCAGTAGTCACAAAGGCATCAGGGAATCCCACAATGGGCTAAAGCAAGTGATTACTGTTGGTTTAGTTGTTTCAGTTGCTTGCTGTCCATTAATGCCCCAAGGTGTGATGGAGAAGCCAAGCTGGTGGCCTCCTCCTCAGAGAGCCACACCTGGAAAGATGCTGCGCCTGGTATTAGTTATTGTTTCTGTTGTCCTTTCTGCTTTGTAGAAATGTCTCTGACATGTAAATAACCCAAGGAAAAAAAAAAGGAAGGAGCTGATTACACAATTACCGGTAAACTCTATCATCTTTTAGAAGATCAACACACAGCTAACGCCATATACAGCATGCAGTAATGTCTGAGAAGGACCCTGCTGAGAAAGAAAATGGCTAGAACTCTAACAAAAAAAATATATGTATATATATATATATATACTGTATAATATATGTCATCAAAAGAAGCATAGCCAACAAACCAAGATAGAGTGCAGACCAACCTTTCGTGTCTAAGTAGTGTATAGATAGCATAATACTGTCTGCAAGAGATGAGGAGGAATCTGTAACGCTGGTGGAGGTGTTTGTTAAATCACATGTGTTTCTGGTGGATTTGCCAAAGCCTCACCAGGTGGTTAGTGCCTGGTGTATGGTCCACCAGTTGTAAACTTAGGTAAGAAGTACACTATTTGCTTTTAATACTTAATAAGCACGCTTCCCTTCATCCTTGCCTGTGTATTTTTAGTTTTGTCTCTTGCTTTTGCCCTAAGTTCTAGACTCATATCAGAAAATATAATTAATAAAATTAATAATGAATCAGAATCCCTTATTTTCCATGGTGTCCATGTGGTCAAATGAAAAAAACCAAAGCTTAAAGGTATCTTTTGTGACTGTTGCTTGTGGGATTATGGTGCTGTCGGCTGTCTTCTTCCTTTCTTCCTTTCTTTCTTTCTTTCTTTCTTTCTTTTTTTCCTTTATCTTTTGTTTTTTTTCCTTCGGATTTCATACTTCATGACACACGCCACCGTCACGCAGCCCATGAAAGGGCCCTCCATGGCACATCTAGGCCCCTGTTTCTCACTCTGTGCTTGTGTCTATAAACCGATGAAATTTGGGATGGCTGACTCCAGAATGTTCCTTGGTGGGGCACGTTAGTGGGCACAGTGGCTGTGCCCTTGCCCACCCTGGCAACAGAGAGGTCACACAGTGCAGCTTGTGGGTGGGCCCAAGCTAGGTGTGCCTTCTTCCCATTTGGGAAAAGAAAGAAAACTCAGCGGTACCGAAATATCTGCAAGGCAATTTTCAAATTTCCTTTTTTAAACTTTTTTTCCCCTTTACCACAATATGCTTTGTCCCCCTCCCTTGAATTTCTGTCTCATTGGCTGTGATTCTCGGAATTTCATTTGATTCTGACTTGTTGCTTCATTTTGCAGTGCTGTTGTATTGAGATGCGGTGGCAGCAGCTCTCCCCAGCAGGGAAGGGGCACTCACATCAAAATTTGAGGAGCAGGTGTAAGACCAGAAGAGGGAGGAGCCAAATGCAGCCTGCCCTCCTTGACGTCCCATTGTTGACCTCACTGACAGCACCCGGGCCTGTGGAAAGAACACACATGTCATGAGCTACATGCTGCAAGACAGTGAAAGCTCCCGACCAGTCACTTGATCTGGCTTTACTTCTGCTGAGGCTTTCCTCACACAAACTTCTGGGCTAGTTTGGCTCTTGGGTCCAAGGACTTCCATGAAAGAGGAAATAGTGATTATTGAATGGTACATAAGGTCAGAAATCAGATGCATTAGACACATAATGAACAGGGACAAGGCCTCTGATTGGACCTGCTCTGATCTGCTCTGGTACATTGAATTTTTCAGAGCTATTTAGAACTGGTAACCATGTTCGGTCCCTGTCCTCACCTGAACACTGCCAAAACCTGATCACCCAACTCATAAGCTCAGCACTGGTGTCACTTCTGGTTAAATCAGACTAAGTTCAACCAGGTTTCTTGACTGCACATAGAGTTATCCTGTCCAGTCATGGAACTTCGGATCGAGCTACTACCCTCAAAATTGTATTTCTTGGCCCTTTGAGGTCAGCAACTGTCCAACTTTATGTTAGCCTGGGTCACAAGAGTCGTACAGCTTCTTGGCAATGTTAAAGCATCATGCTGAAAAGCCCCCAGGGAACCCTGTTCTGCTCTGTGCCCGGCAGGGAGGTGATCCAGGTAACACGACATGGAAAGCATTCATGCAGACACAGGGAATGAAGACACATGATTGTGAAAACCCTGGGGACTTACATTTCAATTGGATGTCACTTAGGCTTAGTCACCTCCTGCTCACATCTTCTAGAATTTAACTGCTAGCTTTCCGTCTAAAGTGGCACTAAGAGCACCCTTCCTATATCCACTCCTTGTCACCTTCACCCACTTTTCTTCTCACAGAAGAGAGGCCACTCCTTGAAACCCACCCCGTTTCTAAAGAGGTTACATTGCTATACTTTGAGGAAGTCTAAACTACCCTATTCTTTCCACTTAGGCCTTTGCCTCTGCCTTGTCTATGAGACCTTATATACAGTCTATGAGAACCAGGTTCCATTTCTTCCCTGGTAAGTGAGTGATCCATTCAATCTTTCTACATGTGTCTTGTCAAACACAATTGAAAATGTGTCCTGTGTACTTAGCCTGCTGGTGATCAATCAGGGCACAGACTGTAGTACAGAGGTCCTTTATTTTCTATCTCTTTGGCCATCTGAATACTCAGGAATTCAGCTTTAAAGTCCACTCCTCATTCAATTTCAGCATACCCTCATTCAACCCCACCCTCTGCCCAACTACCTGCAATGGCTAAGAAGAATGCTAAGTCTCTGAGAACACATGGTGCTCCTCTTTTCATTCATTCCCTTCTTCAATATTTAACTGAAGGGCAGAAGCCATAATCCAAACAGAATCCAGCAAAGGCCTTGCCAGACTGCCACATAAGAAAAGTACATGTAAGGGTGAACATCTTGTATCCAACCTGGAACCTCTGTACAATGGTCTGGTAGCTCTGCTAGGTGCTCTCTGATGTTCTTGTTTAGTTACATTGGAACAGTCCTCAGAACTCCATTGTGATTCAACATTATATTGGGAAACAGGCCATCTATAGGGACAGCTCCTAAGCCAGCACACTATAGAAAACAGAACAGTACCTGTGAACACATCACCTTCCTAGGAAGAAGAGTTGTCTCAGTAAAATTCACGGGGCCTTCCTGCTGTTCTTATTCATGCCTGAGTGACCATGTCCAGACTACCCACTGCCTCTAACTCATACAAATATTCTTTCTCTTCCAGCCCTGGCTGACTCTTCAGCACCTACAGGAAAACTTGACATAGCAGGAAATAGGCAGTCCAAAATAAAAGGTCTCCCAACACCTGCTGGAAGAGATAGCTGCATGGCTCACCTTCCAAGTCACAGAGTTCAGCAGCTACCACTGCCATGGCTTGCCTGGACATCTCACATTTATCCCTTACATTAATTTCAGAGTAATGTTTCCACACCTCCAGATTACTCCAGCTGAGTCCTACAGCCTTAACAAAAACATCTGGATCCTTGGTAGAACATTCACCAGAGCAGTGTATAACCTGCCTGCTATCTGCCACCTTAAGATGTCTTTCTGCCATGTTTTCTTAAATATTTTTAACCTGGTACATGTGGGGGAGTGCGTGCGCACGCACACGCACACACACACACACAGAGGCTGGCACTTCACAGACATATTCTTTTTCTTTTATAAGCTCACATTCTCTAGCCCTTTGTCTGAAACAAACTTCATTTAATTCACTCATATTCATTTTCAACTTCTACTCTGAATTCCCATGATATAGACAATACTCCTCCATTCTGTCAGTAATATATACATTCAGGAATATTCTAATTCTCCTTATTTGTCCAACATAAACTTTTTCCTAAGTGCTATGAAGAGCTAGAACTCTTTCTTCTTCCTCCTCTGCTTCTTGTCCATTTGTTTGAGATAGGATCTCCCTACCTAGCTAGGGCTGAATTTGAAATCTTAATCCTTGTGCCTCAGGATTCCAGCTTTTGTGGTTATAGGTACATGACATCATATCTGGCTTGCTGTGGTTTCTTAATTGAAGGATACATATCTCACTGACTATGAGAGGTATTCAGCAGTTACCGACTAAAGGAGAGAGCCCTGACTGATGCTGATATTTCCATGCTACTTTGGGCTTCTGCTTTTTTTTTTCTTTGAAATTATACTTGTTTTAAAAAAATCAAACCACATAGGAAACAAACAAAGACAGACTTTTCTCCTATGTCTTGTGCTTTATCTCAATTTCTCTTACAGAAATCCTCACCCCTTACTTCTCTAACTCTGTCCAACGAAGACACTGAAGACATCAGGACAGAGCCATTCCACTAGGGAACAAAGCCTCACTCATGGACCAGGATTCAGGACAGCTTGGGGTCTATTGGAGTGCCTAAGGACACTCATGAATCAGCTGAGGATTGTCATTTCCTTTGGAATTTCTAGAAACTTTACTTTTGAGAATTTAAAGAGCCTTCCTCAGCCCTTTGACTTCTGTTTTCAAGTGTTGCTTCCCACCAGCTTAGATCATGTATCTGCAGGGAAGGGTGAGGTCCATGGATAACCTATTTGGGCACTCCTAAAGGCTGGCCTGTCCCACCCAGAGCAAATATTGAGGAAATACCACAGGGAAAGAATGCCATGGGATGAGGATCTTTGGTCCAGGCAGACATAAGCCACAGTCTCCTAAGAGCAAGGCCTTCTTCCAGTAGATGCTAGGGAAATGACAGCTTGTCCCATCTGTCTGGTGACATGGTCACTCAGATGAGGCATCTGTTCTTCATCCAGCCACGCCTCCATTCCACATTGAATGCCTTTATTGCCACTATCTCATTAGAGTGTAGCAGAGACCTAAAGAGACTAATTACCAGGACAGTTAGGGTCTCAGAGATCTGTGCGAAGTGTCAATTATCCATCGGAGACATCTGGCTGCCACGAAAGCCTCAAATAAGACATATTTTATTCCTGTCCCAGTGACTCACCCAAGAACCTCCCCTTTCCTCCCCAGTCTCCCTCCCTCTCACCAATTTACTTATAGCTCTGAGTTAGAGAAGAAGAGAAAGAGATGAGCAAAGGCAGCATGCAAGGCAATGGCCAGAGAAGATTGTTGCATTAGAGAGAGCTTCGTGAGGAAGACAAGACAAGCCCTGTGCCAGGATCCCAGAACCCAGCTCCTCTGACTATAGCAGATGCTCATTAGTGACACCATACGGACCAGTTAAAGTTGTGCAAGTGGAAGCAATTTATAGGATGTGACATCATTGGGAATGGGGTTAATCTAGCATAATAGCAGATCAGGGAGAGGTCCTGCTAGAATGCTTGAGGGTGAACTTAAAGAAGAAGGCATCTAGACGAAGGTGCAGAAAACTACATACCCCATTCCCACTAAGGCATCAGCTGCCTGAGAAGTAAATATACAAACCTTTCCAAAGGGTCAGGGCTGTAGTTTTCACTTCTAAAAAAAAATTAAAAATAAGCCACTGTTAAGGCAGAAACCAGCTTGTAGGGCTTACTGTGCCCTGAAATGGTCTTGGGAACAAGCCAGAGTTCCTAGCCTAACCCTGGTCCCTTATCCCTGTCTCTAGTTATACTGATCGTTGTGTATCATCCACAGTGATACCCCTCCCTTATTTTTTTTTTTTATCTAGAAGTGAACTGGATGCAAGGAAGTGTATGGATGCCCATTAGCGTGGACTGCAGACAGAAGCAGAGCCAGACTACACACATGATCCTAGCAGGAGACACCTATCCTTTGGAATCTGAGCTGTTAAGTCAAACTGCTTCATAGAATGACTCCCACTGTTTCACTGAATTCTTTGTTCTTAAGTATAGAGATGGCTGATTCAGTAGAATATATATTACAGGTATGTGAGTGTGGGTTCCCATGTTAGTTATAAAATGTAGAAGTCTGATTTACATTTAGTTATGTCTTTTAGGAGTACTGATGAGTCAACTCTTAGATGGCAGAGGAGTCTTGACCATCAATATATGATATCAAGCTGCCCTTATGGGTCTTTCTTTAGGATCCCCTGAGAAGTGTCATCTGTATCTCAACTCTGGAAGCCCCTGTAAGTACTTAAAGAGAGATGGAGGCTCTTCCATTGACTAGATTATAAAAAGCCCCATTTTCCTTGACTACAAGCTCTCAGAAGAATATTCAGGGCTCTCTCACCTTTTCTGTGGTCAGCTAAGAAGTTTATGGCTTGATTTATCATAATCATTCACCTTTTACTTCTCTCTCTGGCCAGGGACCCATACTATTGCTCATTTGGATCCAGGGAGCATATGAAACATTATCAAAGCTTTGGGCACCTTAGGAGTCTCTTTTAGGGGCAGAAATCTTCATATTTAGTGAGATGACAGTATTCAATGCAGTCCATCCCAACTGTAATTTCCATGTTTGCAGTAAGATGAATACTTATTGTGATTCAGTCTTTTAAGCTGTCCTTTAACGGCACCAGGCCTCTGGTCACCCCTAACTTAAGTGTATAGTCACAACCTTAAGAAGCCC